CATAAACAACATGACAGTCTGGCCATAAATGTGCAGATATCTCCCAAATCACAATATACTGCTCTTCCTTACAAAAGTTACTCTTTCATTGGGAATTCCCATGATCCTCACTCACCCAACACCAACATTGGGGAATGCATGAGATACTTTGTCTGTTATCCCTGTGTGTTAGCAAAGAAAAGGTTCTGACCACTTACCAGGGGGATTCTCCATCTGGTTTGACATTGCTGTGGGTGATAAAGGATGTCTCAGACCACTGGAAATGCTAGTTATCACCTCCTAACAATTCAAAAACGGCGCAACAATCTCAACTAGTGCTTGAAAACTGGAGGCATTGTTTATCATCATCAAGCCATCCATGGCCACTTAATGATTGCCTAAAAGGGTTCAAAAATCATCTGATGTTCCCACTTTTGAGTATTACATGCAATTATCTGGGACTTTACTGATGTGCTAGAGGTTGAGGTAGAGGGTACCACAGCCAACCAGGAGTTGCTCATTATCACTGTAGGAGTTTTTCAACTTGTTAATCTTGTTAATTGGTAAATCTCCCTGTGGGCAGAATCAATAACTCACTCTTCTATGGAGAAAATAGTAGAACCAAAAGCATGAAGCCAAAACGCCCTCTTCAGGTCAGCCCACAGATTTTCAGTTGGCTTCAAGTCCATGCTCTAGCTGGGCCATTCCAAAACTTTTATCTTCTGGTGAAGCCATTTTGATTTGGAGGTATGCTTTGGGTCGTTGTTATGCTAAAAAGTGAAATTCCTCTTTATCATCAGATTTTTAGCAGAGTCCTGAAGGTTTTTTGCCAAAATTGACTGATATTTGAAACTGTTCATAAGTTCCCTCCACCCTAACTAAAGCCCCAGTTCCAGTTGAAGAAAAACAGCCCCAAAGCATAATGCTGCCACAACCATGTTTCACTGTGTGTATTGTGTATTTTGATTATGCAAAGTGTTGTTTTTGTGCCAAACATACTTTTTGGAATGATGGCCAAAAAGTTCAAGATTGGTCTCATCAGACCTTAACACAGTTTCCCACATGCTTTTGTCAGACTTGATGTAGGTTTTTGCAACATGTAGCCGGGCTTTCATCTTGCGCCTTGCCACCCTGCCCCACAGCCGAGCCATATTTTCTCCACTTGTTGATGACCGTCTTCACTGTATTCCATGGTATATTTAATGCCTTGGAAATTTTTTTGTACCGTTCTCCGGACCTGATCTTCCCCGGAATTGGGCAGATTATAGGTCACATTAAGGGCTTGTTCACCAGAACGTTTTTTTTCTCTGGTCCAAAAACGCATTCCCCATAGATTCTAATGGTTTTTCTGACTGTAGTTCACATGATTGCATTCATATCCAGAGCTTTTAAAAAAAAGTCCAGCATGGCACATTTATTTTTGGTCTGGAACACACACAAATGCATGTAAATGCATGCATACACAACAGAACACACTGGAATGCACCTAAAAGCCAACTGAGACTAAAAAATTCAGTGGAATGCACCAAAACCGCACATGCTGCATTTGCAGAAATGCATCCAGATCTGGTCCTGACATTGTGTGAACAAACCCTGAGGGCCCATTCACACCACATCCCGTGCGTTCCAGCACGTTTAGTGGCTGGAACGCACTGGATCGCATAATCAAAGCCTCCAGCGTTTTGGGGTGGGAGGGGATGTGGTGGTTGGTGCCTTTCAAGGCCATGGCACTGCAGGCACGCCTCCCGCCTGCAGTGTGATCGCCCGCACCAGAACCGTACAGCCGGAACGCACTGGATATAGTGGACAAGCCCTCAAGGTGGAAAACATTCTAAAGTTATTGATTTTTTTTAAACTCAAAATCCTGGAATGTTTACAGGGGTGTGTAGACTTTTTATAACCGCTGTATATATTGTGCAATAGTGCATAATACTATGCTGTCTTCTATCCAGACAAAAGAGATGGAGCTCTAATAAGTGGGTAGGATTCTACATATGCTGTGCAGAGGTAGGAGCTTTTCGACTCTTATTGTAAATGCTGTATAAGGCAATACGTATTTTGGGTTTAGTGTAACAAATTCATTCAATTTAAAAATTCTAGCAGTTTCTCGGTTTTAATTTTCAATGCCTCTGGCCTAAATAGGAAAGCTTGTAATATTTTATAAAACATACACCAGATGGCACCATATGCTTACTTTACAGGAGTCCTGAGATTAGCACATAAAACTTCTTCTGCAAGACTACAGTCACTGGCTATTTAAAAATGTCTCTTCTTCCAGCAGTCATATCTAGATATCAGAGTTCCAGTTTGGTAACCCCATGACCATTATCTGCCCACTTAATTCTACAGTTGACTCTTGGATACATTTGTTTACACTGTACCTGGTCTCTGGTATTTGAAAAACTGGTAAGAGGCTACAAAATCAAGGTACGGAATCTCATTTAAAGGGTAAGTTCACTTTCCCTAGTAATTTAGGAAGATGGAATTCCCCATTGAAATCTGGTTCCCTAACCTCCCTCTACCCAGCCACTATACATACTTTTCAGCGTGAACGGTCCGTCCCCACCACCAGTACAGCCGTACCTCATACTGCGAGCACTCATTGTGCAGCGTGGTCACCTGACCGTGAAGATTTTGATGTTATAAGGAACATTTAGAGATGTTAATTGTGCCTAAACTGTACCCTGAAAAATTTACCTTTATGTAAAAAAGCACTAGACCTTGATACACTTTTCAACAATCCTTTACTGCCTGTGAACAGAATTGCAAACATGACCCTCATGCCCCAGACAAGATATTTGTATTGTTTACTATTAAGCATGCACCGATACTAATACTAGTATCGGTGCCAATAAAGAGTATTTGGGCAAGTACTCGTACTCGGCCAAATGCTCCGATACCGGAACTTCCGGATCAGTGGGAGATCTCGGCAGTGCTGAGGGAGCATGGAGCCGGCTTCCTATCCAATCAGGAAACCGGGTGGCGGATCATGACCCACCGCCCAGCTTCGTGATTGGTCAGAAAGCCAAGCAGCCTCGGGAAGTAAAGCTGGTGTTCTTTCGATAGAACACTGGCTTCCCAGGCATGAAGGAAGCTGGACACAGCGGGTCATGACCCGCGCCTGGCTTCTCGATAATTGGAGCACACGGCACCGGTATCGGCGAGTACCAAAAAAAAAATATTGGCACTTGTACTCAATACCGGAAAAACGGTGTTGGTGCATCCCTATACTCTATGCTTTTATAACATGCTATACCCCTATTCCAACCCTATGCATACAAATGGGATGAAAATCTGGAAATCCCCTGGAGGAAAACCAATGGGCCCAAGTTTGGCTCAATGTCAAAATATTGTTTACAGAACGTCTCAGCAAAAGAAACAATGTATAAAGTAGTCCTGCATTGATATACGTACCGTAGCAGACTGCCAACTTTTATCCCTAGCTACTCACCTGAGTGCTTCTGCGGCTGTGCTAAGTCAGGCACTTTTGTTTGTATTTTGTGGGCATGCACCACAGCCAAGCACTTTTCATCTCAAATGTATCATTTGCGCCACAAACTATTTGGATCTCACATAAACAAAGATTCCTATATGGCACTATTAAATAAGAAATTCCACAACCTCCCAAAATACCACTTCATACTATTGATCATAATGTGTTTTTTCTTGCTTAATGATCAAAATGCACTATATTTTCTTGAAAGTCCTCTGAAAAAAGACACGTTACTGCCGAAACCTGTATGTATCTTTGGTATAGGAGCACAAATTCACCAATAGATGAAGGCTGATGGTTTAGAATGGAGGAATAATTGAAAAGAATCAAGCTAGGAATTGTGTGAAAACTGAGAAAAGATAAGAACAGATAAGATAGAGGAAGTGTGAAAAGTAAACGAGGAGAGAAACTGATAGACAAATTAGAAGAATAAAATGGAAACATATGGAAAGAAAAAGAGATAAGTAATAAAACAATTCATGAGATTCGATTATTTTCCAGATAATAGGTGGATTTGATAGGGGAGACCATCTTCCTTCAGAAAGGTACACACTGGGTGTACAATATAATACTGTGACAATTGTAAATATATACAATTAAAAATATTTTGTATATGGTATTCAAATAAAAGCTAAGCTTTATTCCAATAGGGTAAGCTGTGTGGATGAATGAAAGCATTATACACGTAAAAATGTAAATAGTTCTTACGACCATCAGGGCTGTTGAATTTAAGCCAGCCTTTCTCAATCTATCCAAGGATGGAAGCCAACCTAAATTATAGTTGTAAAAAACCAAACCTGCTGACTTTCCTGGTCACTTTACTGTGGGATATCAGCATGGAGCCCTGGTTCTCCATGCTGAAGAGAAAGCTGCAGTGCAAGGATCTCCCTTCTGCTTCATTCATTTTATGGATCGGTGCTTTCTGAACCTCTCTTGCTGCTTACTAATTTCTCCATCAGATTACCATATGCTAAGGGGGGGGGGCAGCTCTCTGACATTAGAAGTCAAAGCCCTGCTTCTACCAAGATGGCTGCTTCTACACAAAGACACAGGCATGATAAATCAGTCCAAAGAAAAATAAATAATCAGCTGTGGGGAAACCACAGACAATAATGGTGAATTGTTTTTTGCCCTCAGCCTGTCTTTTTTTGGGGGCACCTCCAGAGGCGGCTCTAGAGTTTGCGAGGCCTTAGGCGAAACCTAAACACGAGGCCCCACTCAGGCCTGTGGTGTCTCACCAGGGCTCTTTAACCAGTCTGGTGAGACCCCACAGAGCCCTGGGGAGACCCCTAAAGAGCCCTGGTTAAACTATGGTTCTATGGGGTCTTACCAGTCCTGGTTAGACCCCACAGAGCCCTAGTTAAACCAGGACTCTGTAGGGTCTCGCCAGGGCTCTGTAGGGTCTCGCCAGCTTGGTTAGACCCC